GGGGGGGGGGCAGAATAGAGTGCAGCTATCACTTCATGTAAGAAAAGAAATTATAATTGAACATTATAATTTATAAAATGTGTTCATAACTACACATACTATACATAACATACTACAGTACACACAATTTACAATATAAATTATTTTAACATCGGAATGTTTTGACTATATATTATGGTTATTTTTAGTCAAAATATTATAAAATTATAAAATTAATCGAAAATTATAAAATTAAAAAATTATAAAATTATAATTATCGGTTAAAATTATACATAGTTTTAACATTATAAATATATGCAAATTAGATTTGCAATTGGTTTTTATATTTTCTTATATCACCTAATTTCAATCAAAGAACCGTATAATTTATTAGAACAAGCATTCTTATTAATAGACCATTTTCATAGCGATATTATGACATTAATGTTAAACAATATTTCTTTATTCATGTATTTCTTTATACACGTAATTTTGCCTTTCTCCTAAAGAAAAGAAAAATTTAGAACTGATGTGAAAATATTTCTAACTGATATGAATATATTTATGCAATTTTGTGTTTTTATCTCAACTCTGTAATTTTCTAGTACCAAACAAAGATTTTTATTACAACTAATTAATAACTAACTTGTAATATTTAATTTACGCGTAATTATTTCTCTTGTAATACTACAGTTAATTTACTAAACGTGTTCTTATTTTGAAAAGAGTATTGTCTTTAATTTTATTTCTAATTAAATTAATTTTATTGTTTCTAATTAAAAATTTTAACAATTAGCTATTAAAAATTAAAAAAAAATTTTTGCTGCTCAAAGAGATAAATGTAGCAATGCGGGTCTCACGTTGTTTATCACCGTCCCTGCTATCACAATTCACTTTCCAATAGGAGGGATATACATACGACCGTGTTGCGGCAACGTCGCAATCGCATACTTGATGCCGCAGCTGACGTGAGCGTGTTTCCTCTAGTGGCGTTCGTTGTGTGTGGAAGAAGTAAATTTCTTATCAACGGCTTCGTTTGTAGAAACTGCTTCGTGGACAGCCGATTGTAATATCATTTGCAATATCACAATGTGCGCACGCGCATGTGCTTAGTGGTCACTGAACATGTAGGTGTATGTGTATATTTTATGCATGTGTGTGCATATTTTTTATATGTGCGTGGAGAAATATCGTATCGAACGATAATGGCCCGTATTCTGAGTTCTCTTTTAACGATAAATGAGCCTTTAAAAGAAGCTTAGGAGCCACCTGATTAGCTGAGAAGCTACATTTAAGGCACTTTTATCGATAAAAGAAGATTCAGAATATTCATGCCCATTGCATATTTGAGTAAAGGAAAAATCAACCTGAACAAATTAACTAACGAGATACTATTAAAAACTAACATCTCTTTTTTTATTTTTTACTTTATTTTTAAAACTGTATGTGTATCTAACAACCTTACTGATAATCTAACTAACAGTCTTACGTAAGTCTGTATGATTTAAAAATTCTGCTTGCACTTTCTAAATATATCATACTTCAAGGATAATGTTTGGTACATATAATATTGCACATAAAGTAACAATGGTAATATGAAACATGTATTAGCGCAATCGATAGATACATATATATAAATAAAATCAATAGATACATATACATAGACAAACTGAATAATAATCAGAATTAATCTATAATTACGTTATAAGTTAAGCATTGAGATATTTATTTGATATGAGACAGAAGTGGTGTTCTAATATTCAATGCCAATATTGAAAATCTATAGTTTATGTTATATATACTAGATTTTCAATATTAGCAGTGAATATTGGAATGCCAATCAGAATTTGTCTTAAAATTGATTGAAACATAGAGTTCTTTTTTTTTTTTAATAGTGTTCTTATACTATGGTGATACTATGCCTACTATATGGCACATCAGTATTTATTTAATATAGGTAGCTTATACTAACCAAAAGTCTACATGATCAGCCACACTAGTTTTATGCTCATTTCTATCAACTTTGGTTAACTTAACCTGGGTTACTTTCTAAAACATCTTTTTTGAGAAAAATTTTACTCAATACCTATAATTCACATTACATATATTATAGAGTATTGAGTAAAATTTTCTCAAAAAGGACGTTTTAGAATGCAACCTTCCTGGTTATTCCAACGGAATTGACCAATCGCATCTGTCAATCTGTCAATTTTAACTAAATACGGTTGGTCAATTTCTTTGGAATAACTAGCTGGTTGAGCTAACCAGTGTTGATAGAAACGGACATCAGTGATACGATTTTGAACACGACGCACAAGTGCTTCTCTCACCATTTATGCGCACAGAGACGCTTTGTCTATCCGTGTGACGATCGTCACAGTGCGTTTCTGTGTGCATAAATTGGTGTAGAAATATCATACGTAGCAGAATTATCAGCAGTGCGATTCTGTAACTCGTTAACTGTCGTTAACAATTTGTCGTTAACGTTGCGCAAGCATAGTGTATGTTAAAAAAAATTCACGACATAATTAATGACATTGTTCTTAAGGACAGTTAACGAGCTACAGAATTACATCTTTGGGATACGTTCCAAAACTCGAAAGGTAGAGTAGTATTTAATTGATCAATCAGAACAAACAGAATTAAGATTTCTTTATTATGATTGGTTAAGTGAATTTTAGTATATCTGCTGATAATCCATTCTACAATAGTAGTAAGAAATAGAAAGTAAGAGTAAGAAATTGACCAATCATAGTTGATTATTTTTCTCACATTCGACTGCGAATAGTCAATTTCTTACTCCTACTTATTACTGCTTACTGCTATTGTAGAATGGGCTTTACTTTCTACTTCTTATTGCTATTGTAGAATGAACTTAAAATTTTTGAACGCAGCCCTGTAAACTTTTTCTGTAATTTCCTAACATGTCACTAGCATAATGTGTCAATACATAACTTTTCTATCACGTATTATGGGCCTTCTATAATGTACTATTAGTCATAAATCGCAGACAAGTTGACTGACATTATTTTTTAAAATAATCGACTATGATTGGTCAATTTACTTGCGGTTTATAACTAATGGCTTATTGTTCTTATATTTAATAGTATATTCGACTGGACTTGGATTAATCGACCCTTAACCAAGGGGGTTTAATAACCCCCTTGGGTTATTAAATCCAAGTTCATTAGTCAAATATTTTTGTGCAAATTTTGTGGTTGGCTAAAGACCGATTTATGATGGTCGTAACCATTAACTTATGCTATAATCCATAAGATATTGACCAATTGCAGTCGATTATTACAAGAATAGTCAACTGCAATTGATCTATTTCTTATGGATTGATCTATTTCTTATGGATGGACAGCACAAGTTAACAGTTACGGCTATCATAAATCGGCCTTAATAGAATCTTGTGACATCATTAATGGACCCCGGATAAACTAATGTTTGTATTCATAATCAGGCCTTATATTTAATACCTCCTTAAGTTCATCTTCAGATACTGTATGGAACATTTTATTGGCTATAGAGCATCTGAAGATGAACTTAAGGAGACCTTAAATATAAACCCTTGTCCATAACCTTGCTTTAAGACATAAGCCATAAGAAATTGACCAATTACAGTCGATTATTCTCCTAAAAATCGACCATGTTTGGTCAGTTTCTTACAGCTTACGTCGTAATGAAAGGTTGTGGACAAGGGCTAAGACCTGATTATGGCTGGTATTCATAATCGGATCTTATATTTAAGACCGTCTTAAGTTCATCTTCAGATGATGTACTGATTATTTCATTGGCTATTAGGTATCTGAAAGGAATAATAATATAATATTACCCGACTATGAATACGGGTATAAGGATGCTATTTCACGTGTCATACGACGAGTTTGTCTAAAACACATTCTACAATAAGCCGTTAGTCGTAACCATTGAACTATAACCATATTGGAAGGCTCACTCTTTTGTTCTCGAATGGTCAGAAAGAGATAGTTGAGTGGAGACAGTATACCCTTGTCTAACCAACTCGAGGTACCACATGACTCAATATACTACCCACTCTGAAAACATTAACTTCCACACATCAAATTCCCATACATCAAAACAGCATATTTATATATAATATATATGTAAGAGAGAATAAATGACACGATTCCTTTATATAACGCGTACTAATAGCGACAGCAGTTTTATTTTATCGAATAACGAGTGATACCGATCAGTTTGTCGCTCACATATTTTTACCCTTACGAAAAAAACACTTAATTTTGGGTATAAAAATACTCTCGAAAAAACCCTCAAATGTTTAGTGTAAATTCGGATCGTCAATTGACGGTCAACACCGAAATAAGGGTTAACCTTAAACAAAAACCTTAAATAAGTGTAAGCCCTAAACGGAAAAATATATCTTGCAGAAATGATTGCAACTAGTCAGCTTATGTTGATTTTAAATGAAATTTAGCTTTTTTATTTGATTTCTCACTATTTTCATACCTAAAAATTTACTCAGTACTGGGCAGACGCGAACTCGAGACCTCAGAAACCTCCAGGTTCCTACTAGTCTACCACCTAGGCTGCTGCGCTATTTCTTCAATTGATACTAACAAGTAACACTAGAGAAGTGATAATTACTGATTTTCCTGAAACTGCGCATACAAGTAGTTCTTCAAAAACTATTAGACACGTATTTTTTTGTTTTTCCCCAAAAACGAATTTTGGGGTAAAAATCGCCCCTACAAATTTTGGTGGGAGGGGGGGGTAAGAGGTACTTTACAAACTGTTTGTAGGATTCGTATGAAATTTGGTATCTAGGGGTTTTTGGCCTCGCTGATTACGAATCAGAAATTCTTTTTTGAACTACTTTTAGCATTTCCCAGGAGCAACGACGTGGACGTAGTAGCTTTTTGTTCCCATTGGGGTGCTTTATTAAAAGTGAATCCCCTTACCTCTCACTTTTCGGAAGGTTTTTGCTGTGAGTCCCCTTGCCTCTCACAATATCGGGTACTCTATAAAATTGGTGCAATAATGTGGAGGGTTATCATCTGTAATTGCAAAAAAGTGTTGCATGCACATTGATGCATTACACCAAGCACATCTAATTAGTCCAACATCTTTGCAAAATTTACAGATGATATTACAATTTTTGAAACAGAAATCTACGGGAGTTTCGCATTTTTCTGGTTTTTCTGCAATATATTGCAATACCTGCAATACCTACTTTTCCACCAAGCGTATTTGAACAAATTTCGAAATTTAGGAGAGGAAAATTGATTATGGATTAAGGACTGTATTTTAAGGACATTGTTTCTCAAGTGTAAGTTGACATCATAGCCATATAGAATTACTATGTCTGAAAATTGTCTTAAAAAATTTTTCCATAATCTAAAACCGTAAACGTCCAGTGGCTGAATTAAGCTAGTAGTTCCAGCTGGAATCGTCAGAATTTTGACACTTTTATTTCCTCTATCTATATTGTCAAATTTGGTTTTAGTTTGGCCAGTCCAAGAATCTAATAAAAGAACGGAATTCGTTCCAGCATTTGGTAAGAAAACATCAGAAAACCATTTAATGGCAATATCTGATGTCAATTTCCCTACATACCATGTAGGGGTTTTTAGCCTCGCTGATTACGGATCTAAAGTCAATTTTCGAAAATTCAAAATGGCAGATCCAATATGGCGGACGGATTTTAATTTTATTAAGGATTTCTATGAAACATGGTATATAGGGGTTTTTGGCCTCGCTGATTACGAATCTGGTCAGTTTTTGAAAATTCAAAATGGTGGATCTAATATGGCGAACAGATTTTTAAACAAAACTAGGTTTTTATGAAACTTAGAATTTTCGATCTTCTTCAGTCGCTGAATAAGAATCAAAAATTCTTCTTTGAACTACATTCAGCGAAATCCTTAATAAAATTAAAATCCGTCCGCCATATTGGATCCGCCATTTTGAATTTTCGAAAATTGACTTTAGATTCGTAATCAGCAAGGCCAAAAACCCCTAGATACCATGTTTCATAGAAATCCTTAAAAAAATGAAAATCCGTCCGCCATATTGGATCCGCCATTTTGAATTTTCAAAAACTGACTTCAAATTCGAAATCAGCGAAGCCAAAAAGCCCTAG